AAAGAGAGCTTCTTCCCCTGGTCAAACACACAGAGCTATTTTTCCCCTTTAAAAACTCCAAAACTGAGTTGTTTCATGCATGTTTTTTTTACATGGGGCAGAACTAACCCAGCACTGGAGGCTGGCACATTTCCCTGTGGGTACCCTGAAGAGCCCAGATACCCACACGATGCAAAATGAAGACCCGTAACTCAGCTGAGAGTTTGAAACTTTTGCCTTAGCGCTTCACTTCAGCTTTCTGTAGAGGGTAAGAGAAGGACAGCAGCCCAACATGGCTTGAAGAGAGCAAAACAAGTGATCCCCATGCAGAACAGAGTTCTACTCGTGTCTGCGTGTTCAGCAACACGTTTAAAACTAAACTGGTGCAGACGCAGAAGTCAAACACTCTCCCAACCCTCAGGAGCTCAGAGGATGGGACCAACTGAGAGTCTGTAGGGAGATGCAGTCATCAGAGCTTCAGGTGGTGCGGGCTTCTTGCTGTCACAGCATCCTGGTCTGGTGGGATAAAGCTCATCTGTGCACGTTGAGTTTACACAGTCCCAACTTCAGGATGGGCATAGGGTATGTTGTTGTTGTTGCTGGTGGGTTCTTGAACAGTGTCAGGAGGAGGAAGCAGATGAACAGAAGCACAAGGTGAGGAGGGGCGTGGGAGCTTGGTTTGCTCTTGTTGAGTGAATCAGGGTGGAAAAACTGCAGGAACACGGGCACAGAGCTCCCTGCTGCAGGCCACAGCCTGGGTCTTAGCTTCCGGCACTGGGTGTTACAACTCGACTTTGTTCTCGTGAAATGCCTTCAATAACATGAAATGAAAACATTCAAAACCTCAAGCATTGCTTCAAAGCACCCTCGCCACCCAGAATTTTCCAAGTTCCCCTAAGGATTGCAAAAAAACTCATTGAATCCACTGGTGCTGGATCAGTAATGCTTTTTTAGCTTGTTTTACAGAGAAACAGGTAAGATATTTCCATCAGCAAACACAGCCCCACGTATCTTGTAGCCTCCACAACATATGCAGCCCCTCCATTGCCCAACCCAAAGCTACCAGTGGCAGCTCCAGCTTCAGGAGTGAGGAGGGGAGCCAGGAGAGAGCTGGAAACGCTTTGCATCCAGTGGGGCAACAAGTCGATCCAGAAAAAACCCTCAGCCATGCTTGGTGGGGACTCCTGTGAACCAGGCTAGGACAAGCGTGCGGCAGAGCTTGTTGCTGTGTTTTGTTCCCTCATGTACCACGTTTCCAGCTTGCCTCGCTATCACAGCTGCTTTTCCCAAGGCTGGGCGGGTTGAATCACCACTCTTCAAGGCACAAAGCGACATGCCAGAATCACCAAGGCTTCTTGACCGAATTCAGGGACAGGATCCAGAGGCTTTTCCCCACCTGGGCCCATGTGAGCAGAAGTGCCAAGTGATGGAGACGTGACAGCTGTTGCAAAAGGAGGAAGTTTGCAAGACGAGTTCACAGCTTCACGTCATTCAACTGGGAATGAAGGACCAGCAACTTCAAAAAAAAAATATTAAAAAATCATTTAACTGCTTTTATTGCAGCACTCCTTGGCCATCTTTCAGAATCCTCCTCTCAAATGAAAACCAGGCGGAGGACTGGGCCCTCTGCCTGAGCGTGCAACAGTGCAGGTCAGATTCCCAGCCTGGATGCTCACCAGGGTGCTCCGACCTCTTCCAGCTTCCGAGCATTTTGTTGCCTCTTGGGCCACGCAGGCTGTGGACTCCTTGGTCCTTCCAGCACATTCCCTACGTACAGACCCCTCACAGACATGGGACCTCTCCGTCTCTTCCCACAGCCCAGCTCAGCCCTCTAACACTGCCGGTGCTTGCAGCCCTGCACGCCACGCTCCTGGCCCTCCCCAGGACCCCTCCGTGTGCCACTGCTGGGGCAAACCGCACCGGCCCGCTCAGACCCACTCCAGCTGGACTCAACATCCCTACTGTAGCCATCCCTGGGCGGGCAGCCAACACCAAGAGAGACAACTGCCCATTTTTCCAAGCTTGGAGGACATGGGAGGCAGCCTGGCAGCTATGCCCATGCTTCTCAAGGCACCAAGCGATGCACCAGTTGTTTTATAACCCCAGCTCCGTTTCACAAGTTGGATGGAGATCTCCCATGGTGGCGTACGAAGCAAAGGCATGGCCGCCTTGGATGCGGGCATGCAGCGAGATGCTGTGCTCATGTCTCTTCTGTTTGGCATCAAATATTTTCTGCTCGCTTTAATTGCCCTGTATTTTATTTCTTTTTTCTCCTGGTGTCGAGGTGGATGAATAATCTTTTTGGCTTTAGGACATGCCGAAGTGTCTGCCAGAATCATCAATCTCTCTGAATTCAGGAACAGAACAGCTTTTCCCACACTGACATCTATGGATAGAGCTCGCACCTGTGTAACAATCGAGGGTATTTCCTCCAAAAGAAGGAAATCTCTAACAAAAACTGGAAAACCCAAATAATTTGATCAAGGAATCACTTCAAGGGCTGGAAACTTCTTTTGAAAATGCGATGTCTATATTCAGCACTGAACTGTTTTATTTCAGCATGGAAATCACTATTTCGGATTCTTTTCTTTCAATAAATGAAAACACAGAAGAAAATTCAGGCTATCAGCCCAGGCTTGTAACAATTCAGGGTTGTTCTTGGCTTGTCCAAGGGTGCTTATTGCCAGATTCTGAGATGCTGGCAGGATAAGTCTGTAAGTCATGGAAATTACGAGTTTCATGACACACATTTTCTTCCAAACCCTCGCTGATAAAATTAAACACAGGAACGAGCCAGGACTTTCATCCAGCTCCTTAATTACCATCTGGAGCCTGGCAGCTGAAATAAGATCAAACTTTTGCATAGAAAAGGGAAAAAAAAATTGCTATTACAGTGAGGAAGGAGATGAGAATTTACGAAGAGACTGAGTGGAGACACACAAACATCCCAATGCTATCAGGATCTGTCCCACCTGGGACTCCACATCTCCTGCTTGCTCTGGGCACCACGTGCACAGAGCTGCACAGCACCTCAATAAAGCTTATCCCATCACAACAGAAGGAGCAAAAATACCTCAATTTTAGTTTTTACAAGCCTTCTAAGACCAGGTCCCTATTTTAGGTATCTCAATAGCACCAAGCAAAAATTCTTACTCGTGATGGGCAGAAGAGGGACAGGCTTCCTCTCCTTAGCAGATCCAGTTCAGTGGCATGTCCTGGGTGCAGCAGGACCATCCCTTCATACCCCTGGAGCTTGCCTTAAAATTACTGAAGCCAATGCAAGGGAAAATCTGCTGGGAACCACGTCTTGCCAGATAAAGGATGATTTAGCGCAAAACTGAGACACAGAGGGTTGCTGCAGAGCACCGTAATCAGGACTTGTCAAGGGTAATTTGCACGTGACAGATGTAAAATGCAAACTAACATCCTATATGCCTTAGAAGAGACTGTTTCATGAGGCTGAAAATAGTTACGAGCCAAGTCATGTGGCAGAAAAAGCATGAACAGAAAACAGCTTCCGATTATTACAAGCATTTTACCAACAATTTGTGAGTGATTAGAGAAAATCCTACAGTCCTGCTGTCAGTATCAAAGCTCTGCCGGTTAAAACATCTGCCTAGCCTAGGAGAGAAGTGAAAGGTACAGTAAAAAAAAGCCAACACACGGAGAAAACCCCAGAAATCTCCATAAGAGGCCAGAAAAGGGTGAGAAAGGCGGGCTGAGGAAAAAAGCCTGGCCATCAGGACAAGGAGGAAGTGATTTTGAATCTGCTGGGAACACAAAGAGCCTTACCAAGTCACGGATAAGTCATTTGCTAAAATAAAGTTTTCAGTAATCCTGGAGACAAAGCAGACGAGGTCAGTAAATATTTTGGAGCTGCACTTGGGAAAAAGATAGCTGATACGACATTATGATGAAACACTCTCCATTTCAACAGTAACTCAGAGATACAGTTAACCAGAAATTAAAAAGCAAAATATTTTAAAATTAGGTCGAAGTAATGTGCATCTAAGAATTTTAAAGGGGCTGCCCAAAAAATCAACTGGTTTATTAATTTTGCTGTTTTGTTAGTCTTGAAACATTGCCTAGATCCCACCTAGGTCTGCAGGTAACATCGTGCCACTATTTTAACACTTCACAACGACAGACTCGTCAGTCTAATTTTGAGCTTCAAAAAGATAACGTTATGGCCAACACAAAATTGACAGTTAATGAACCATCAGCAGGTGATACAATCCACGACAGCAAAAAAGATTTGCTGAAAACAGATGCCACTGAACCAAAGAGGGTCCTGTTTTAAGTCACAATCACGTTGAATAACAATATTCTTACCAAACCGTAGCTGCCCATTAAGTATTTGAGTCAGTAAAGCAGCTACGGGGCTCGACTGGAGGCAGAGCATCCATCTGCGTGCCCCGTAGGCGAACAGTGCTGGAAACAGTGAACTGCAGGAATAAAACACAGAGGAAGCCGCGAGCCCTGGCTCCTCCACCCTTTTCAGTCCTCAGGAAGGAGCGTTCCTTAAGTGAAGGCAGACTGACGTTCAACCAGGCAGCTTTCGATCAAGAAGTATTTGGGTAAGATGATCTCAGCTAACTCACGACAGGCGACTGTAACACCTTCGAAGGTAGCTGCGTCTAACGCAGCGCAGGCAAGACGGAGCCGTAAAATCGCATGCGAGTGTAAACAATTATCTGTGGGTTATTTAAGAATCCTTACGTGCTACTTTTGGGTAGAGCTAAACTTTTAGGAACGTGCTCCCTGCTAACGACTGTAGGGGTTCCGACTGTCGCTTGCCTTCTTCAGGAGCGACTGTTGGGTCTGCTCTGTTCACACCAGTCGCCAGCTGCTGTGGGGACCAGCGTGGCTGCACGTACGCCTGGTGGTCATGAGA